TTTGAATTAGCTTCTGAACAAAGCTGACAAAACATCTTGAGAAAGACGAAAGAAGCTCTCCTGGGTGAAGTTCGAGTAAAGTTCTAAGAAAAGTTAGAAAAACATCCGAGATACTTCCAAGACACGAATTGAGAAATTTGTGGCGAAAATTTAAATAAACTATCGGAAAAAAAAATCGGATGTCACTTTCTAAGGAAGCCAGAAAAGTTTCGGAAATCGGAAGTAAATTTTCAAAAGTAGCCATTTCCAGGAAAAGCCAGAAGAAGCTCAGAAAAACCTTCCAATAGAAGTCGAACGAAAAAACCTTTGGCTTATGGTCAAACTTCCAGAAGAAGACGAAAGAAATTTCTGGGAGAATTAATTGAACTTTCTGGAGAAGACGAAAGAAACTTCCTAGAGACGCTGACGGAAACTTCCTAAGGCTTACGGAACAGTTGAAAGAAACAAATACATAATTCATAAAACATCCCTGAAGACTCCGCAATTTCCCTCAAGTTTTCGGAACATTCCTGAAATGCACTTAAGAGTCTTCCATAAATCCTCGAAATTCCTTAAAAGTTCTTGTAATTTTCCTGAAATTAGAGACTGTGACTACCGGAATATCTCTAATCATCTTTGAAGGTCTCTGGACTTTCTTAAAGATTATGAAATCTCTTAAGTGCTCTCACAAATTTCTCGAATTTATTGTAACATCAGCATTGAAGCTCTTTGACCTTCCCGATTTTTTTTAAATTTTTAAAAGTTATCGACTCTGCCATTAAAAAAGCATAGAACTTCCTATAAAATATTCTCGCAATGTTCTACTGTTCATTTAACTTCCCTTACGTAAATTTGCATGAGCCCCTCAGGACATTGCTGAAGTTTTCGGAATTTGCCTGAGTTTCTTGGAACTCCTTTATAATTTCAGCAATTTCATTGAAATTAATTGATCTGTCCTGATGTTCTGTGAGCTTCACTAAAGTTCCTGAAAATCATTAAATTTCTCTGAAGTTCTTTGCATTTGTGAAGATTTAAAAATATTTATGACGTTTCCTTAAGTTCACTGGAGTTCGCTGGACTTTTCTGAAATTTCCGGGTTTTCGAATTGCAACATAAGTTTTTGAAACTGTCTTTAATTTATCGAAACTAACACAAAAGTCTGGACTTTTCTGAAGTTTCAGAACTTCTTAAATGTTCCTGCAGATAGTGTGAATTCGCAATAAAAATCAGATAGCATCCTTGAAGTTCCGGAAATGTTGAAAAAAAAACTTGCGGGAGAAGATAAATAGTTATTCGAGCGAAGGCTGAAGAAGCTTCCAAGGCAAGGTGGAAGAAAATTTCAGGGAAAGTTGGATAAAACTAAAAATATTTCTCGATTCCCTAGGAATTACCGGAAAGAGCCATCGACCATTTCTCGTTTGATGGGTAGCCAATCAAAAGGTGGAAATGCAAACATTAGTCAAAAGAGTAGGGTTAACTACCCCATTTCCGGCCTATTAAGCACAACCCGCACATAGTCTTTCTTAATCTAGCGCAGTTTAGCACCAAACGGAATGTTATTATTACTGATGGCTTCCACATTTATTTACCTTTCTGTACGTACCAAAAGATTTGATAAAGAGAAACCAATCGTTGATATATTGTCAAAAGTCAAACACTGCTTCTTGACGCTAAACTCGGCCTACGGATTCTAAACTCGGCCTAACACATTGAAACGCCAATGAATTCACTTCGGCCTATCGAATGAAGATAAAAATTTATTCGGTCGGAGCGCTTATTTTGTTTTTGGGAATAATGGGTGCAAACATTCATATCACGTTTTCTCATTGACTTCGTTCGGAAGCTTATTAACTGAAGTATCGTACCAAATGCATAATTGACTTGTTAACTCTGAAATCATGGATTTATTTGAAGTTTTCTGCTCGATAGGCCCAAAATAAGCGATTAGTCCGAAGTAGCTCTCTACCCTATCAACTGACTGTTTCATTGATAGCTGATTTCTTTAGAAATATGAATCCTCAGTAGACGTGTTTTTTTTATCAAAGGCAAGTGTCACTCTAGCCATCCAAAATGATCGTTATTTTATAAATTCAAGCATAACTTTTCAAAAAGACGTATGTAACATTGGTTAGGAATTTAGAAACATTGGATTTTAATGTTCATATGAGATTATCAAATCCTATTTAAAAGTTAATGCTATTTTTTTTAATCTGTTTCTGCTAATAGTTGGATAAAGAGATTGCGTTTAAGGAAATTGTGAAAAATATTGAGTTTTCGCAAACACGGACAAGGCTTTTTATAAAACAAAATGATACACCTTTTACTTGTGTACTACTCACATACACCTTGATTGATTCGTCGATATCATACCTTGATTGATTCGTCGATATCATACCTTGATTGTTACATACACCCTGCATGATTCGTCTATTTGACTGAACAGTTTTCACATACGTCAAATCAGATACACCGGTTTTTGATTTGCAGTGAAGATACGTCAGTAGAAACATGCGGTCCGAACAGTGGGATCTTCTTTGGCAAGCGTTTTGTCTTTCTTCTTCTCTTCGTACACTACCTTGGCTGACATCTGATGTAGTTCGTGTTGTCGTTTTAATTCTTCCTTCTCAGCAACATCTCTGAGTGGCTACATCTAAAAAAAAAATATTTATAATAATTATGTTTAAGTCAAGAATATTTAAACAAAACATACCTAACAGTAGCTGAATCCCGTTGAAATCCATTTTGTATCTGCTCAGAAACAACTTGGCGCATCTGCAGATTGTTAATGGTTGCTTTGTTTTTTTCACATACGACGCTTCACTGTGAGCGTATCTGCATTTTTTGTGTTACCATCAAATTTTAACAGTTAAGTCATGTTGACAAGAAAAGGGTGTATCAACAAATTTTAAATACAATGTAAGAAGATCAAATAGGGCGTTCATTAAATATATTTTCCATAATTCATTAAAATTTCCAACCTTGTTTTTCATTAACTCGTAGGAAAAGCATGTATTTTATATTCGGTTAGAAGCAAAATATCGATTTGTTTATTTTTGCGACTTACGTCCTTTGCAAAGTTATGCTTAAATTGCTGTTATGGCTCGAGTGACACTTGCCTTTGATAAAAACCACGCCTACTGAGGATTCATATTTCTAAAAAAATCATCTATCAGGCACATTAGACACATCATATGACTTGATGAAGTACGCTACCTGGTTGTATTCAATTTACATTGTATTAAGGGGCAAAAACGGAGGGTGGACCCGTAGGCAGAGACACTCCATGGGAGCAAGAAGCATTTCCTTCCAATGATAAAAATGTTCCCACCAGATACAGAACAAGCCATCATACAAGGGGATGTCCCAATGAGTGGGAGGTACAGCCCACCTTCAATTCACGAAATGTTAACAACAAGGAATTGGCAATTCCACTCTCCCCATCAAAATTGCTGTAATCAGCGTGGTTCCATCCCTACCCAATGAGTTTATATGTTTATATGCAGATATGCAGAATATAATACTACCCATGATTTTCAACTCAGTAAGCAAAAACGATCCTTTCAGCGTAATCAAGCATCTCAAAACCACAACACTCCACGACAACATATGATTAAGTTTCTGCTTGGAATGTAATGAACCACAGAGATACGCGATCATTCATATAGTTTCTGTGTTTGATGGTTAATTTTAAACAGACGAACGATAACAGCGAAGTTGGAACTTACCATTTGTCTAGGATATAACACCTTCGCCCGGCACCTCTACTGGATCTTCATGTCCACCATCTGTCACTGACTGCAAAAATATCTAATAGTAATTACCTGTGCTGTGATCAGGCATGGAAAATGATTTGCATTCATTTTATACATTCATTTACATTCATTTGTCTCTAACTTTTTTCATCAACAGCATTCCGCAAAATGATGTACAGAGCTTTCGTAGGTTTTGTTATTAGCTACAACTGCTGTTGATGAAAAAAGTTAGAGGCAAATGAATGTAAATGAATGCATGAAATGAATGTAAATGATTTTCCACGCCTGGTGGTGGTGGTGCGATTTTTCTGAGGCATAAAAATCTCTGGTTACGTTTTCCTTTGGAAGTGAAGTAAAGCCGCTGGTCTCGGCCCATGTGTGTTTGAATGGGTACGATCCAGGTGTGGAAGCTGCCTTCCTGCACATTAGATTGCCGTCAATGGATGGCAATCGATGTCCGTCGGTGATTGGCACTAGATTGCGGAACAGAGACCGTCATTGGAAATATGAATCCTCAGTAGACGTGTTTTTTTTATCAAAGGCAAGTGGAAGAAGAGAAGAAGAAGCTTCTTAAGATGAATCTAAAAGAAGCTTTTTTTTGAAGCTCATTCTAGATACTTGCCCGTCGCTCCGCTCCTCTGACTAAAAAAACTAAGTAGCTACGCAGTAAAAGTGCTTTGCGTCGTTTTGACTCTGACTGGGATATTGATCATTTTTATGAGAGGGGGAACAAGACTACAAATACCTTTTACAATGATGAATATATAATAGCTCAAAACAGTTATCGTCTATTTAACGGTTTTATGAGAAGAATAGTTAGTTGAACATTCCCGAGAAGCATATGTAAACCCCTCGAACAACTTAGGCAACCGTGCAAACGCACTGCTTTGCCCCTCTATTCATCCAAACATGATGTTTTGTGGATAGTCACTTTTGAACAAACCACAGAATCCACGCATATCAGTTTGTGTCAAGGGATGTCCAAAATATGAGCAAAAATTCACCTAATAAAAGTTGATTTCTCTTTCATGATGATATCGAAAGTCAAGCTCCGCGCACGAGATATAGCACTCGCATGATGATATACAATCAGTCAGTATGGCGGAGAGCTATGTCGGAGCATAGGTATTGAAGAAAGCCTGAAATGAGATGCGGCTCATAACGGTGCTGTTGCTGATTGTGCGCATGTGTAGGTTCCAGTGCCAGTGCGGATAGGTTCCAAGACAACATTTTCTTCAACTATTACAGCGATATTGGAGTAAGTCGTACGATGAAACGTGTATCCCAGATGGGGGGTTTACCATCGTAGAGTTTTCGGGTGGAAAGTTAGTCGTGAACAGTACTTTGTGCAAGATTTGGTTGGAAGTAAGTTGATTGGCAAATTTTGGTGTTTGTTTATCCGATGAAGTGAATTTGGCGCAGTTCCGTTTAGTCGCAGTGCTCTAATATGTGTTGTCGCTCTTTGCAGATCTTACACAGTACAGGGGAGGATGTGTGAAATGGATGAATTATGGTAAATTCGCTCAAGTGCCTAATTATCTGCGCTTGAGTCGAAACAACAAGGCAATTCAATCCATCCCAAGGCGAAGAGTACAGTTTCTCGAGAAGCATGGTTTCAATCCAGACGTGGCCATCGTGGTTCTCGAAGGTATCAATGCTTTCGACATCGAGAAGACTAGAGAGATAGATGGTAAGGAACATACTAGATAGCCACTAGGTAGTTGCGCGGTTATGTCATACATGCTGGCGTGCAATCATTGCGACACATGTGGCGGGCATAGTTTCTTAGCTACAGCAACTGGTTTAATCGTAGATTTACCTGAGCAAAAATGCGAGATCACCATTGATTTTGGATTATACAAAATATTGAAGTTTAATTTTATATGTTGCCATTTTGTGTCATCAACAGTTTGTGATATTGCTGGTATAAAGTTTGACACACCTTTTGGCAGACTTCCAAAACATGGACTGGCGACGAAGAACGTGCACTGCAGCATCCACGCCAGCAAGCAGATTGGAACGACACATCACATAAACTACCGTTATGTTTTCCGTGGAACACTTTCCTGAGAATAACAGTTAGTAGGCTGTATCAAAATTTGTTACACGGCAAATAGCAATGGATCGTTCATCTGTTTTTCCAGCTATCGAACATAGATTGACAAAGACCCGGCTAACGGCTCAATGGACTACGACATCGGATGTTTAGCTTAAACTTGGTGATGGAACTCCCACTTGTTATTGATAAGATCAAAACTAAAAAATAGGGTTTGCTGCTTTGGTGAGATTTGTTGGCCAACCACTCCAAGTCTCGGCAAGGCAGCAAATATCCAAAAAATATGAAGTTACGAATAGCAATATTTAGCTCTAGCGTGGTTAGAGGTATTTATTTCATTCATAAGCATTTTGTTTTCCTAGCTTTAAGCAATATTGAATGCAGCTGGGTTCTTGCTGATTAAGCCTAACATTTAGTTTCTGAAAATGTGTTTTAAGGATATTATTCAATATTGAACCGTGCAAGTTTTTACAAACTCCCTTCACAACACCAAACACAATCCTTGCAATATGAAATGGTATAATTTATCCAAATTTATTATTCCAAATGACAATGAATATGATATTTAATCAACTAAATGAAATTGATATTAATGGTAGTGGTATTCCGTTCAACATATTATTATACGATCCTTTTAATGATTCTCAAAACGAGCGAAGTTGGAGGATAGCATGATGAATAATAGCTACTGCATACGTGACACGCGATGCGACAACACCAATAATTAGAATTATACGCTATTATTATACACGATTACATAGATGATCACGTGCTTCCGAGCGCGAATCGATTAAATCAATTCAATGATTACAAATACACTCTTTTTCTGAGAATATTGTGTAACTGGCATAATGCCAAGACACAAACACAACAACACAAAACATTCCCTAGGGTTAAGGGCTTAAAAGGAAAAGGTAGTTTTGTAGTTCTTAGGATATAAGATGATGAAAAAATGACACTTGGTATTAGTTTTAAGAAATTTTCGATGATAATTGAAAAGTATTATTAAACATTTTGATTTCAGAAGATGTTTTGCAACCCCCATGAAGTAAATACTCATTAATATTTGTAAGCGAGCGTTTGATACTAATTTGTCCGAAACTGCCTATGAAACTGAGCCGCAAATTGGGAGTTATGAAGCACCAAACACAGCTCCGGTCCGCATTCATGCATTCACCTACTGGAAATTCTAAAAATAATGCCACCACGAAAATTGCGATACCTGGATGGGCGATTTCCTCTAATTTAAGGTAATGTTTAAGTTTTGAAAAAGTAAGAGGTTGTATCCAAGACACGACCGCTGATTTGACGTAGGATTACGAAAGGTAGTTTTGATGTCACAGCAAAAGTATAGTATATATTAAATTGATTTCTTAACTCGCTATCAGTGAAAAAGCTCGATAGGTTGAAATTCGAAAGCAATTTGAGAGTTCTTTTTATGAGGTGCTCTGTCGATGTCCATGTAGTAAAAGCCAATCCTAGACGATATGTCTTGGATTCAAGCTCTTACTCTTCAGTTAACACTTTTAGCAGTCATTTGTGGTCCTGAAAAGGACCGGTGGAAAAAGGAAGCAAAAATGCTGTGGAAATTTGTCCTCGATGTTCTTGAAGATGATGGCGGTGCAAAAATGAAATATGTATTAGGGAAAACACGTCAATCACAGAATCTGTGCCTACCGGACGGTACCTACGTTTATGCTTTTTGATGCAAATTTTAAGCATCTTCTATTAAGAGAATTCAGCAAGATTTTTATTTTTTGGCATTATGCTCTTAATAGGAGGGGCTTAAAATTTGCACCAAAAGGCATAAAGATCGGTACCGTCTGGCATGATCAGTGCTTGGTATCAATATTCGGTGACTGTGTTAGGGAAACCACTTTTCCCATCACGGAAACGCCTCGTTTTCTGATGTAAAAATTACGCATTTTCGTACAAGAAACGCACAGAACTTTTGGTTTATTCAATATATAATAAGAAAAAAAGCAAAAATTGATTGGAGGAATTTCTTGCTAAATTTTTTCCAACCGCGAGATGTTCGCGATCAATCATATAAATTAGAGATTTTTTTGATTTTTCTAGCGTCCTGGAGAAAACCTTACGAAGTGTTTTTGATTATTTGTCATGGTCATGTGGTATTCGGTCATTGCGAGAATGTTTGATCACAAACGTTTGGTTGCTGGGAACATTATCAAAGAGCTTTGGGGGTGATGTGGCTGGCAGCAAGGCGAGCGAACGTTCAATGTGAACTTACATTCGATTGTTGACCTTGACAAATGTCTCTTGATGGAGCCCATCAGCGCCCGCACAATGGAAACGGGCACGGAATCAGCACATTTTTACCATTTTACCCGCATTTGCTGGATGTCCTTGACTGCCCCGCCGCTTCGACGAAGTCGCTGCTTTGAAATTGCCCAGTATTTTTCGGTTGCTAGAAATTCCGGGTAATTCGGAGCATTTATTAGCTTGGGGACAAAATCAATCTTGTTGGCAGCATACCACTCCAGAACCACTTTGGAGTAGTGGCAGCTGGCCAAATCGGGTCAAAAGATGACTTTTCCCCTATGTTTGCGGATACACGGCAATACACGCTGACATCGAAGATGTGATGAATGGTTCCGTTTACAGGCCACAACTGCAAATCGCTTGCCAAATCATGGCCTTATTCACGTACTTGTCGGCAAACACAAACTTGAATCTTCCCGGCACACCCGCACGTCCAGTCGCGATGAAAAACTTTTGACCGCGAAGCTGCTTAAAATCGAGTTTGACGTGTGTTTCGTCATCGATCAAAGTGCAGCCCTTGTGTTTCATCAAAACAAGCATTTGCACGCTTTTTGGCCACGGAATTCTGCTTCATGTGCCGGTTCGGATGTTTGCTGGCTTTGTACGGCTTGTATCCTTCACTGGCAAGGATGTTCCGCACCGTTTGACAGGAGCCGTTGTACCTTCTGGCCATATCTCGGATCGAAATACCGGGGTTGGCTTTAACGCACCTCAACACCTGGCTGCGCAACTGACGATCCCTGATTCCAGTTTCGTAGGTCCGCTGATTCCTTTCCACCTGGGTTTCCTTGAGCACTATACAAACTGTTGTTTTCGGCATCTTCAGCACTTTAGCCAGCTTGGAACCGGACCATTTCTCGTTTTACCAAAACGAACCCTGCTGCAAACCTTACCCTCTTACCCAACATCCCAATGATTCCTCGTGGAAGTGCAGAGTATTTCTTGGCTTCCATCAAAGCGAGTGTCACGTCAACACATTCCTATCCATTCTTTTCTTGACCTGCGTACCGTACCGGTTTCCGCTTCGTTGTTGGAGGATATCTGAATGCTCGCCATGAGGCCTGGCGGAACTACTAGCAGAAGCAGAACAGTCGTCTACCGTTCGACCACTTGCAGCACTCCGTTTGGTTCTCGGACGAGCCAACATGCATCTCATGTCGACGCTAGATCTGTGCCTGACAAATACCGGCTTATCCAAGCCGGTAGCCTTGAACCAATTCATCTCCGACCACCAAGCTGGTGACTCGAAACGACGCCTTGGCAGACCTGCAATCCTACCGTACATTCCTGTCCAGTGAACGCACGCAACGGCTACAATCTACTAGGGAGGCCGCCCTCAAATTTTACAATCCTGTAAATTTTCAACGCCGCTGACGGACCTTGAGGAAGACTCATTATTTCTATATAACGATGCTCGGCATGAGACTGAGGTAACTAATAATAACAATGACCATACTTTATCAACCGACGTATTTCCAATAATTTCTTCACACAGACAGAATGCGACTGAAATTTTGATTTATTGTCAAAATTTCAATCGCATGAAAAGCCCAGCTAAAATGAAGGAAATTCATCAACATTTATTATGCTCATCCTTTTCGGTCATTCTGGCAACTGAAACAAGCTGGGACGAAAGCGTAAAAAGTGAAGAAATCTTTGGAAATGCCTTTAATGTATTCAGAGACGACAGAAATTTTCATGCAACACAGAAGAAGTCAGGTGGTGGAGTTCTTATAGCTCTTTCGGCCAATTTTAACTCAGAAATTATCTAATTTAGGACTGAACCAAATTAACCACATCAAAAACCAACAAAATTGCTATTTGGACTTTTTACTAACGAATATTTATGAAGATTTCTGTGTGACCGAATCATTAAATCCACTGTGGAAAAATGAAGCGTTTCATACAGCAATCGAATATTCTTTATTTATGCATGAAAACCAAAGACCCAACGACTGCGAATACGAAGAAGTCTTTGAATACAAATTAGCAGACTACGAAAAAATAAAATTTAAATTAAACAGTGTCAATTGGCAATTAATTTTAAGGAATGTAGGAAATGTCGAAATTGGTATAGACGTGTTCTACAAAATTTTAACAGAAATAATTTCGGAAGAAATACCTTTGAAGAAAAAAAGACGTAACAGAAACACACAAAATCCAGTCTGGTTTAACAGACAAATAAAAAACTTGAAAAATCGGAAGCAAAAAGCACATAAAATTTATAAAAAACACAATAGTAGTAATAATTTATTAATTTATTTGGATCTATGCGATCAACTGAATTTAGCTATCAGTACTGCATTTGAAGAATATAATGCAAAAACTGAACGTGAAATAAAGTCCTGTCCGAAGAACTTCTTCAATTACGTAAAAACGAAATTAAAATCTGACAATTTTCCTTCAATAATGCATCTAGACGAAAATGTCGGTGATAGTTCGGAAAAAAACTGTAATCTATTCGCAAAATTTTTAGAAAGAAATTTATACGACATTTTCTGAAGAAGATCGTGACCGCGATTATTTTGCATTTTATCCAGAATTTTCAAGGGACATTGGCCTCAATCAACTTCAAGTGCAGGACATTTTGCAGGCTTTTAAAAATTTAGATGCCTCAAAAGGTCCTGGACCTGACGGAATTCCTCCAGTATTTATTAAATGTCTAGCAATGGAACTCACTGCTCCATTGTTTTGGCTTTTTAATATGTCCCTGGAATCCGGAACCTTCCCTAAAATTTGGAAAAGCTCATTTCTAGTACCTATCTTTAAATCTGGTCGAAAATGTGACGTACGTAATTATCGTGGTATAGCCATTATCTCTTGCATTCCTAAGCTTTTCGAGTCAATTATCAACGAAAAATTATTTCTCCAAATCAAAAATAGAATTACTGACATACAACACGGCTTTTTCAAGGGTCGTTCGACCTCGACCAACTTACTTGAATTTATAGACTATTCATTGCTTATTTAATAATTAATAATAATTTGGAAATAAGAAATGAAGAAGACATCAATATATTCCGGAATGAAATTCACATATTCTACATATGGTGCAAAAAAAGTCTACTAGAATTGAATGTAAAAAAATGTAACTTAATATCATTTAGCAGGAAAAGAAAAACTTCAAATATTTCAATTGCATTAGGAAATCAAACTGTAGACAAATGTGAAAGAGTTAGGGATTTAGGAATTATCTTAGACTCTAAGCTAACTTTTATAGACCATTACAATACAATTATTCACAGGGCAAATAACATGCTAGGCTTTATCAAGCGCTTTTGCTATAACTTTCAGGACCCTTACACAATTAAAACACTATATATTGCCTATGTGAGGTCAATACTGGAATATTGCAGCATTGTATGGTCTCCATTTTCAATCACGCACGAAGAAAGATTAGAATCAGTACAAAAACAATTTCTATTATACGCTCTTCGTAAATTAGGTTGGACTTCATTTCCTCTTCCATGATATGAAGCACGCTGCATGCTTTTAAACATACAAACATTAAAAGAGCGTCGTGAATATGCAATGGTTTCATTTGTAAATGATATCGTTTCGCAGCGAATTGACTCAACAGAACTTTTATCAAAATTAAATTTCCATGCACCCACTCGGCAACTCCGAAATCGAAATTTATTTGCCATAAAACATCATCGCACAAATTATGCAAAATATGGGCCATTAAACCGCATGATGGCCTTTTACAATAAACACTGCGAAACCATTGACTTTACAATGTCCCGGCATAAACTAAAGCAATATTTTTATTCCATAAGAAATAACAAC